TGTGTGTGTGTGTGTGTGTGTGTGTGTGTGTGTGTGTGTGTGTGTGTGTATGCATGCCAGGGCATGCTTGGGAGGTGAAAGGAGAACTTGAGGGAGTCTGTCCTCTTCTACCATGTGAATCCTGGGTATCAAACTCATGTTGCCAAGCTTGGTGGCCTATACCTACTAAGCCATCCTACTGATCCATTCTTCAAAGTTTTGTAAGTTTTACATTTTGCATTCTCTGAATTTTGTCTGGCATATCAACATTACATATTGTTCTGAGCACTGGATGATCTGAATCTTCCAATTGTGTTTTCTTTCAAAATTGTATTGCCAGGGTTGGAAAGATGACTCAACAGTTAAGAGCACTGATTTGCTCTTCCAGAGATACTGAGTTCAACTCTTAGCACCCACACAGCTGCTCACAGTCATCTGGAGTCTGGAGTCCTTGGGTATCGGTGTGCAGATGTGTATGCAGACAAAACACCCATATACATAAAATGTAGAAATAAATCTTTCAGAAAATTGTCTTGTCTATTTTAGTTTCTTTTAATACATTTTAGAATGATCTTATTGACATCTATAAAAATTTCTTCTGGGAGCCGGAAAGATGGATCCATGATTAAGAGCACTTAGTGCTATTGCAGAGGATGTGACTTCAGTTTCCTGCACCCAAATCCATTGGCAGCTAAAATCATTGGTAACTGAAGTTCTAGGGGATCAATGCTATGTTCTGGGCCTTCATGGCACTTCCTGCACTCGACACACACATATTCAGACAAACATTAGTACACATAAGATATAAATAAATAAATCTTCCAAAAAATTTGCTAGGATTTTGATTGGAATTAATAAAACTCAAGTTAATTAAGTGAGTCCCTGAGCAGATGTGTGTCTGTTTATTTAAGTCTTTAATCACTTTCAAGAGAGTTTTATAATTTTCATCTCATAGATCCTCTGTGTTAGACTTTTACTTAGGTATTCAGTGTTTTCTGTTGTTCTGTATATGGGCCGTTTTTAGCTATAATTTTTTGTTGTGGTTGGTAAAATGTAAATATATAGTCTGGTTTCTAGGTTTACTTTGTGTTATATGACTAATACATTAATTAAGTAGTTCTGGGAGCTTTTTCATAGAGTTCATGGAGTTCTGTTCTATGTTGATTAAATAGTTTGAGGACAGAGATAATCTACACTAAAAAGATTTTTTAAATTATATGAATGGGCAGGGTATGTGCACATGAGTATAAGTGCTGGGGGGAGAGGCAGGAAAGGGTGTTGGATCTCCTAGGGCTCCTATAGTTATAGACAGTTGTGAACTGCCATGCATGGGTGCTAGGAACCAAAGTCTGGTCCTCCGCAAAAGCAGTAAGCATTCTTGACAATCCCAAAATCTATGTTTACTGTTTGAAGCTACCTACTTCTTTTCTGCCATGGTACATTTTTAGGCTCCCAGTACTGTGTGAAAGGGACATCTTAACCTTGTTCCTTATATTAGGGAAAACTTCAGTCATCCTAAATCAAGCATGCTACCAGCTTAGTTTTTCTGTTTGAAACTTTGAGTTTTGTAGATGCTTTACATTAGATTAAAAAATTCCCTCCCATGCTTTTTTCTGTGAGTTCTTATGGATAAATGTTAAAAATTAAAGTGATTTTTTCTGTATCTATAAAGCTGAACATGTTTATCTTGTCTTCAGTCTGTTGATACTATGAATTACTTTGGTTTTCAACTGTTGAAACAACTTTGCAGTATCAGAATAAATAACACTTATATATTGCTTCCAGTTTATAAAGGGTTAGCATTAAACCTTCAAAATAGTTAAAATATTTTTAAATTAAAATATAATCACATCATTTCCCTCTTCCCTTTCCCCCCTTCCAATCCTTCCTTTGTATCTGTTCCCCAACTCTCAAATTCATGGTCTCTGCTTCTTTGTTATTCTGTAGATATAGATAGATGATAGATAGATAAATATTCATAAATATATAAATGCAACCTGCCTAGTACATATTTTACTTGTATGAATATGGTTTCAGGGCTGACCATAATATAAGTTTGAGGGCTCTTGCCTAGGGAAGACTGTTTCTCCCACTCTCAGTACTCATTAGTTGCTTGTAGTTCTTTATCTAGGGTTGAGGCTCCATGATATTTCTCCCTTCCATTTTAGCATGTCTATTTGTGTTGTCCTTGTTCACATCTTGTTTAGGTAGCCATGTTGATGAGATTACATGGGTGCAGCTTCTCTGACATTCTAGGTAATGCACCCTCACTGCAAACTTACTGCTCCCTGGTTCTTACAGTCTTTTTACCCCATATCCTTCTATTCATTGAACTTTAGGTGCAAGAGTTGTATTGTAGATGCATCAATTGGGGCTAGGCAGAAAATGATAATGTTTCTTTTCATTTCTGTAATCATTTCCTTCTGTTACAAGGAGACATTTCTTTTCTTCTTTTTAATTTATTCTTCTCTCAT